GAATCTTGAGTCTACGACAACTTTTGTTCTACTCATCGAGGTCTATCTACCCTGAAAGTTTCAGAAAATTTCGTTGAGCCGTTCTCAAAAAGTGGCGGAAAGGGGAGGGGTCCCCTTAAAGAAGTAGTTCTAATTTAATCTAAAAATTAATGAATCATCATGAACTCATTCAATAAGATTTATTCATTTGACAAAAAAGATCATAATCATTTACAAAAATCGATTTTCACACTATCATAAGTCGATCATTTCAAAGTTGGGAAATAAATGAGTTTGATCAGCCAATATTTCACAAATAATAACGCATTATCAATCAACAACTCATTTATATGAGGACTTACTTGATAGCCTAAGTGGTAAGTATTACATTAAAGTACTTATGTTCTACATAGTAATTTATAAAATTCAACATACAAATTCACTTTCGATGCATCACACACTGTAACTATAACTTTTTCATCATCGACTATCGAATATGGTGAAAGTTGATGCGTTCTCACATCGGATTTCTACATTATCCAATAGCTGGTAATGAAAAAATACTGATGATTTTCGATTACCAAATAAGACGAAATTCTAATGCTCGGATTTTGCTTGATACTTAAAAGATTCATATTATTATTGATCTACACCTACGATCTTGTTTTTTTCGTCATGCTCTTATCATGTGGTGAAATTTATCACAGCTTGTTAAGTCAATATCATACCCAAAATACGTCAGAGCAACAAAGAAAAACATATATTACATCATTATCAAGTTCTATAGTACAATTTTTTTTGTTGTTCTGTTCTTCTCGAATATTTCATGTTAACAATCGATTGTGCAATATCATCATCAGCTATATAAAGTCGTATTTTGACGGTGTTTTTGTGTGTTTCAATTCTCATCATTAACTGTGTGTCGTGCTACAAAAGCACACACTCAGTGGCCTAACAACCAAATCGATGACGGATTGGAAACGTATGCTCTCAAGAGTGAAAAATTTGCTTATGCAATTATAATTCGTACTTCGAATCGACTCGAACTTTTTATGTTTGAGTTAGAAACTCGGCTTCCGGTGTGTTCCGATCATAACGAAACCCTGCTATCGTCGCTTAACATCGACGCTTTGGGTCGATCGGACATGTCGAAGGCCACCAATATTGAGATTATATGTGTTTGTATTGATTATATTGAATTACACAACACTATATCAAATCTCATTGGTGTATCTTCGATGTTTTCGACATATATGCCTACGAAGCCGAGTATCGAAGAGACGAATATTATCATCCATAAGTCAGATTTTAGTCACTTTCTGAGAGCACACATCTTCAATCTATGTTGAAAAAAGCAAAAATTATAAAGGTAAATATTAAATGAATGTAAGTAGTTCTTTTTAGTGTGATTTGATACTGATTGTTACATTTCGATATTTATTTTTGTTTGACATGCAAGTAAAAGATTAGAGTTATGGATAGATTATATTTTCAAATGTGATGAAAATCAAAAGAAACTCAATAAATGATGTCTTTTTCAATGATTAATTTCTTTCATACTAATAATAAACTTCTTTAATATCACAATATCGTTTTTGTTTGATTGAATTATATTTTTTTTATTAAAATACTTTAATAAATAAATTGATCCCAATTACTCAATAGTTTCGTGTTTATTCTTTATGGAATTGTTCGTAATATTCAAATTATGTTTCATTTTAAGTACATCAAAAGTGAAAATAAAAGAAAACGTGCTTGACAAAGGTTTTTATTCCTCAATAATTTAAATTGTTCAACGATCCATTTCTTGGTATTTAATTGTATTTTATAAACTATCTTTACAAAATACTATACCGAAGAGATAATATTACACCACAAGTATTTGTCTCTGTTTGTAGAATCGTAATGGTTTAGAACATAAAAGATTTTCTTGCTTTGAGATTCAAAATCTTTCTTAGAAAAAAAAATTTGCATTTGCTATATATCGGAATAACTTTTTATTAAAATATTTTACAACAATTTTCTGTATGTCCTCTCACAAATGAATTCTATGAAAGTTAACTGTTATATTTACTTGGTATAGAAAAACTATGAAAGCGTTAATTAATCAATTAAAAAATTTAATGATATGTAAACTTGATTTTACTCATCTTCATAAATGAGAAATAGTCATCTGACTACATTCATACTTATACTTGTGTAATCATGCGAATCGATATAGAGAATGATTATTTCTTTCACTAGAACAAATTCGTGAATGATCTTGTTTACAAAAAGAATCACAAATGAATATCCAATAAAATAATTAGATTACTTCGACAAAGAGGTACAATGTTTTGTGCCAGGGAAAAGTCAATATCAATTCAGCAAGTCCTAATGAGAGGACATGTGTTACGAATTAGCTGGATTGCGTTGAGCGCAGATTTTCGCTGCTTCTTGCATAAGATCAGAGGAACCTTGATGCCACGCCTGTATAAATTTGATGGAATTAATTCGCCATTGACCATCTGATTTAGATCGTACCATTTGAATATCATATGTACCACCTGTAATCCACAGGTCTTGCCTACCTTGCTCACGTTCCAAGCAGTGTGTAGCGGTGACTTTTGCTTTGATACGACATGACATAGCATCGATAAAAGTCACATCGTGGTTACCAATGAGATGATGAGTAGATTTGAACCCAGCCAACATTCCGTTCCATGCCTGCAGATTAACTTGACGAGGTAAGGCTTTCATTGGCTCTCCACCAACCATACTCGTGTAATCGGCATCGAATTGCTCCTCAAAACAGTCAAGACAGTAGTCGAAATTGCGCTCATCGATAGCGTTGAAATATCGATTGAGACGAAGAATAACAGCAACAGAATCCTGTGAATTTGAAGAAGAAAAATGTGTCATGCAGCCAAAAGAAGAAAAAGAATGATAGACTCAATATGGTTGTGACAAAGAAGAGGTAGAAAGGAAGAAGAATAAGAAGAGAACTATGAAAGAATGACGAAGGGCAGAAGTAAAAGAATAGAAAAACAAAGAAACACAAAAAAGAATAGCAAGAGAACCATGAAATAATGGGCAACCGAGAAATAAAGAATAGAGAAAAAGAAAAACTAATAAATAGTATACTATAGTAGGGTCTGTAGGTGTAACCAATACCAGGGTGGAGTACGAGTGTAGGTGTCGACCTCAAAATCAAGATACGAACGCCTAACTCGAGTCAGAAGAACAAGTGCCATGTATGTAGAAATTGAATGATAATCTATGATCAAAACTCGAACTTGAACAAAGGGAAAAATATTCTTTTCTTAGAAATTAAATGATTAAAAGTGCATTTCTAAGACTTCCGAACTGATTTGAAGCATCATTCTCAGATGAATCAGAAAGATCCAAATAAAAAGAGACCTATTAAATGAGTACTAAGTAACATTGATGAATACATTAGAAAAGAAATATTCACATTCTAAGAATTAAATCAAAAGTCTTTCATTGTAAACCTCATTCAAATAGTGAAATCGGAAAGCAGAACAAAAATACTTGAATATTTCACTAAAATTTACACAATGTAGATATTTTTGTAACAATTAATCAGCTAAGTGATAAGAGAATTCGAACTAAAGCATATACACGTAATGGAATACAAGTTTATGCATGCAATCTATAAAGCTTACAGTTGTACATTAGGACCATATATATACATACCTTTTAAATTCAGTACTTAACTATTTAAAAACTGATGATCAGAGGTATTTGATTCTTTTTCGAAATGCCACAGGAACAGACACTATGATTGACGATTATAAAAGAAATGTTGGGCGATTGGTTCAATAGGATTGATTTTCAAGTACAACGATAAACAAAAACCTAGACTTGAAATGAAAACTAAACACTCTATTTCAAATATCTATTTATAACCTTTTCCGCAACACTGATATGAATATCCGAAAATCGTTAGTATATCCAAAAAACCCAGGAAGTACTATTACCACCCAGGATAGATATGTCCATTAAAAAAGTTGAATACAGCAATCCAAGAAACAAACATATCATGTACATAGAAATATACTCTTGATAATTTACTTAAATGGACATATCTATCCTGGGTGGTAATAGTACTTCCTGGGTTTTTTGGATATACTA